AACAGCTGTAAGGAGCGTGATGAGGGGAGAGATTAGAGAGGAAAGTTCAGATAAGAATTTTGTTAGTGGGTTATCGGTTGTGTGAACATTGGGTAATGGTATATTTTTAGAATTAGTAGCGGATGCGTAAGAAGTTTTGGGAGGGAGAGGGGGAGTTTGGAGATGAAAAGAACTGAGTACCGGATTCGGATTCTGTTGTTTTGAATGAGTGGTTCTGCGTCGTTTGAGAAGAGATTTGTATATTTGACATCCTTTGTAGTTGGAGGTGTGATTGCCCATGCATAGGGAGCACTTAGCTGGGCTGGTTTTGGGTTTGATGCAGTCGACGGTGTGGTGGTCGCCCCCACATTTGACACACCTTGAAGGATGGTGACAATAGTTCGCAGTGTGACCATAGTTCTGGCAGTTACGGCACTGAGGTGGACCACTCTTGGTCCTGTATGGAAATTCGACTTTGATATATGTGTGCAAAATAGTAGACAAGTTTAGGATTTCTTTATTGTTGGTGTTGGGTTTTAACTCCACAAGAAAAAGTGGGCATGGGTGACCATTTTTTTTGACGTTTGTGACACGGCTGGTGTGGTGACCTAACTCCGAGAGTGCATCAGATATATCGGGGATGAGTGTAGTGTGGTGCAAGTTTCTGATAATGACCTTGTAGGGTCGACGTGGTGGAGGCATAAAAGTATGAAAAAAGGCACTGGTGTCCTTTAGATGGTTCATGATTAAGTTAAACATGATACGTCCGTGAGGACGAATAATCAAAAAGGAAGACGTGGACTTGCAAGAAAAACCGTTTTGGCCGGTGATTTGAACTAACGCGTTTTTAAATGCGGAGAAGTTGGTGATGTTTTGAACGTATATTGGCGGAGCCCTGTTGTTGACCTGGTTATGATGAAGTGTAGACTCGTTGGTTATATTAGAAATAACATTAGAGGTGTCGTGTTGGATTTCGATGTCCTCTTCGGTAGCTAGTACAGCGAATTTATTTGGCGAAACAAATGACTTAGTTTTTTTCCCCATTTGGATAGGTGAATTTGGAGAAGATGGCAGCGACCGTTTGGATATAAAAATGTTCGGAGAGGTAGTGTTATTCATATTGGAATGAAAACGTGTTCAACGGAGTGAAACCCGAGAACTGTTAACTGTTTACATACTGAAACGCGATAACGGAGCGAATATAACCGTACAACGTGCGGTCGCGTTGCAGGTCAACAGCGAACTGAACTAACTACTATCTAAGATATATCTTTATCTATAGAGGTATAATGTAAAAAGTTTTTTTTATAAAAGTCAAGTCTTGTAAAGGTGCTTTGATTGAAGATGGGGATGTAACGTGCCAACTACTTCAACTCAATATTGATGGTATTTTGAATTAAAATGACAAGTTGTTGGTATAATGATAGTTTATTTGTATTTATTTAACACGAAAAATATTCTAAGTCCAAATAATTAAATTATAAAATAGTGGTAAACGGGTTGTGACTTAGTATTGACTTTGTGGCTGTTCTGCTAGTGCTCGTCGTCTTGGCTGGTGTTCGTCTGATGGACACTTGTCCATCGACGTATTTCGTCGGTTTTCCTATTATATCCCTCCTATAGCGTTTTTAGGATATAAATGGTACATAGCTGCGTATACCTGAGGTCATTTCGGGCGTCCTCTACAAAATAATGTTAATTGGGATTATATGTTTTCTCAAAGTTATCTATTTTGTTGTTTACGGCTTTTTGTCCTTCCCAGAATATGGATAATGCGCGCGTTCTATACTCTTATCGATATGGCCGCCCGGACGTTTATATTATTACTATTATTAGGTTACGTGCCCTCTGCAGCATTTATATCTATTATTGAATATAACATATTATATTATAAGCGCATTATACTCAATACAGCATAATATAATATAATATTTTATATATTATTACTATTATAATATGTACGTAGTCACAGCCCGTTACACCTCCGTGCCCTTTCAAAGGTTTTGGTAGGGCTACAATTTGTAGAACTACAAAAATCTTTAAAATAAATTTACATAAGACATGGATATAAATACATAGTACATAAATTGTTAATAATTGTCATAAAGACAATTTTACATAATTTCTTTTCATGACATAATGATTTTCATTTTACATAATTTCTTTTACAATACATAATTTTTCATCACAAAACATAACAATATTTCTTTTATAACAATATAACATATCATAACATTTTTTTTTTTTTATATATATATATCATAACAGTTTCATTACATAATAATATTTAATATAATATAATATTTTTTTTCATTTGATTTTTAAACATAATAACATAGTAATTAAAATTTTTAGTTAACGCATTATACCTTAATAACTAATACAATAACATACTATATTACTATAGCATTGGATACAATAATATTTTAATGTTAATTTACATGTTATATATATTTTATTTTTAATGATTACAAATATTTCATAATCTCCAATGGAATTACAGACCAGTATATTTAATAAGTGCGTGTTTAAATTTATCTTTACATTATTTCAATTAACTACTTTAACCATTTATTATTGATGGCAACTTAACACCTGTATTTACTTTACTTGTACTTGTTACTTCATTACCTTGCATAATATTTTCCTTACTTACGTTTTTATCTTCATTTAACTTACTTTGTATTATAGGGTTTTGTAATGCGTATGATTGTGGGTTATCCCTATTCATTGTTTCATACATTTGTTGCGTATAAAATTTACTCCTATTAATTGGTTCACCTATCGATATTGTCCTCCTAGTATTGGTTCTTTTCAAAACATCAGTATAACGGTATATTACATATAGTATTACTAGTATAATTAACAAAAATAGAATCAATCCTAATAAAACGTACGTCATATAATATTTAGTATCTTCTGCATTTCCACTCTGCCTATCTATTTCTTGGTCTATCATTGACTGGATGTCACTCAATGAATGAGCTAACTCATGTACATTATCTAATTTTAATAAATCATGTTTTTGTGTGTACTTTGGTATTGTTATTGCATCGAGTTGTGGGATTTTTAATGTCAAACTTCCTATACCTAATTTGGGAATGAAATTTATATAATATTTTGACTTGACTTCTCTGGTGGGATTTAAGACTATATCATTGGCATAAGCTCTACATTCCTGTTTTAGATTAATTAACCCTTGATTTTGTAACTTCACTATGTAAGGTTCTTGTTCACCTTGACACGTTATGGTCAATGTGTCACTAGTAGTAGTGTAAATCCATGTGTTGGCATATTTCAATTTATGATAAATATTTTTAGTAATTACTATAATTCCTGCCTCACAGTTACTAGGTAACTCATCCGGATTTTTGAATAACGAGACTTCACACGGTTGTCTAACCGATTCATGTTGTACGGGTTGAAACTCTGGACATATGATAAAAATCTCAGTTTCTGTGCAGCTCAACAATTGAGTTTCAGTGAATGTTGTGAACTGTTTCCTATTTCTGGTTATTCCTACATACTGGAATTCGGGTTTTAATATTACACTATGATGTGAATCAAATTTATGTGGAATAGGTATTATTTTGAACAAGGTTAATTCTAATTCGATTACTAGTGGAATTTTTATTAGAAAAACAATTTGGTTCCTACTATAGTACACGGCCATTTTAGTTATTTTACTTAATTCATAAATTTCATTTGGTTTTGACCCCATAGGCAAATTTAGATTAACAGGTAAATTTAATTTGATTTGAGTTAGCTGTTTAGCCAGTTCCCTAGGGGTTACTAGACTTGGGTGTAATATTCCTGTTCTGGCGGCTGTTATTATGGCACTTATAGTCGTGGTTTCGTATGAAAATTGTGTGATTAATGCAGTGAAAATGTTATGTATTCTGTCACTGAGCATCATTGTTTCGATAGTGTATGTATGATTTTCTGCTGTTTTTAGTTTCTTATAGATTTCGCCCTGTTTGTTTACTAGTTCCTCATATAATGTATTCATTTCAGTGGATGTGTTTCCTATTCCTTGTACTACCGATTTGACTACAGTGGTTTGACTCTTTAAGATATGTAACATATTTTCATTGCTGGTTTCAATTTTTTCAATATTATTATTAGTTTCTTTGGTACAATCATCGTCGCATACTCCAAATAATGTTTTCATAGCACTACCTATAATGTTTATGAGCCCCCTTCTATTCCTATCAACCGTGGACATTTTATTATCAGATCCTACGTATCTACCAATAGATTCATACATTTGTTCTCGTTGCGTCGCTATTTCTTTAAACGTGGTTTTTACTACATGTGCAAATCTTGTGCATACTTCATATTCAGATATTGTATCCTTACAGTTATGTGACATATTACTAATTTCATTGAATAATTGATCATATCGTTTGTCATAATTAATTAAAGGTACATAAGTTACAAGTTCCCAATGTGCTCCTACAATCCTTAACTCGCCCTGATTTTCGAAAAATATAGCTGTCTCATTCTTAAATTCTTCATTTAAATACGGAAGTTGCCCTTGAATGGTAGAAATGCATAACAACCTACATAAGAAATAATTCAAATTCATCATAACAATTTATTGTTATGGTTTCCTATAATATTATATTAACTGTTCGTTACTTTCCGTTTTCATGTCTTTGATTACAGTTTTACTAAAGGTCATGTAACCATGTTCATGTCAACATCTATGTAATTAACAACGATAGTAATTTGTAATATCTATAACTAATATATGTATAATTATATTCCCCAATAATCTATGTTTTATTTAATTCAACACTCTATCTAAGAAATTACTTGTACATATGGTGAGTACAACCTTATCTATTCTTATGATTAATTTCTAGATCTATGCTTAATAAGATCCTATGTTGACTACGATAATTCGTCCAGTACAGTATCCATTTTTGCGTCACATAGCTACAGTTACTAAGGGTCGTGTAACCATGTTTCACAATAACTTCAAGTACTGGAGATTTTTGAAATATTTTTTTTTTTTTTTATACTTGTGTTTCCGCTAGGTCTATATCATCATATGATTTATATGAAGTAAGATTTATTGTATTTAAATAATTAAATCTATTTCTTTCTACCAATTTATAATACCGTGCTATGCTAATTGCTGATATAATCATGACTAATATTACTATTCCCATTATAATACTTAATATATATATATTTTTTGATTCTAACCCGTTTCTATTAGTTGGTTCATTGCATCTTGTAGTTGACCCTATGGATTCTTTAGATTCTGTTACATCCCTTAGTTTATTAATTTCAGTATTTTCTTCAACAATTGTGGCGTTCACGTGCGATTCCTTGACAGTGGTGACAACGTTGGATTGGGTGGTTGTTGTACCCAATTGCTTTGTGATATTTTCTTCATTTTGTACCTGAGTGGTTGTAGTAGGCGTAGAGATAATTGCATCTGATTTTATTTGTTCTGGAGAGTTTGTTACTGTACGTTCAGTGTTGTTTGACGGGGTGGTTGTTTCTGATTTGTCGGATAATGATCGTTTTCTGGTTTCCTTTTCTAGAGGTTCCATTGATTGGTTGTTGATTTGATAATTTTGATTAGTGGTGGGTTCTATAAGGAATTGTTTAATTATTATCCTGTCTCCACTCAACCAGAATTGCATTATGGTTGCTTCTTCGTCGTCTTCTCCTCTCAATAATTGAATTGAACATAAATTACCTACGTATACGGACAGATATGTTCCATCTGCTTGATCTAGTTTTTCACCGTCCATTGTTCCCTTGCAATTTATACGAATGGTTTGTAAATTACAGGTTTGTCTATAACTATCTGGTATCATTATATTGTTGTCCTTATAAGTCGTCATACCTTGTACTACAAGTTCTCCTAGTGGTGTCTTTTTATTAAGTATTATCTTATTCGCTCCTATTGTATCATATGTCACCCTTGCTTGTCCAAGAATCGCCAGTATACCAAATAATCTATAATATAATCGATTTGTTATCATTCTATATTCTTTGTTTGCCAGTAGGTCTTCTGGTTCGGGAATTTACTTCACGTATCCTAACAAATAACAATGTCCTATGAAACCCTTGTTCGTCCCTACTTCGTCCTAGCATATAAATCGTGCACTACTCCTAGTATAATTTTCAGTAAAAGTTCATCTGTCTTCCCTAGCACACAATTGGCTCAATTAATTAGGTTTAATTAACAATTAAAAACAAGATATCTAATTTAACTATATAATAAAATAACCAAAATATAAAATTAATAAATTCCAAATTTAAACCAATTAACGCTTTAACCCAACCGAATTAAATATCTTATTGAATATCTTATTATTTATTATTAACGAATTATTAGCTACATCAATTATTGCCTTATTTTCCCTTAAAAATTGTTGTCCTAAAATACCATCCCTAGGTATAGGAAACGAATCACGTACTACTTGAAACACCGTTTCAATATTAACTTCATTAAACCTTAAAGTTATCTTAATTTGTCCTACTGTTGACACTATCTTATCATTAATTCCCTTTAAATATATTTTTTTTTTTTTTTTTTTTTTTTTGGTATAATGATAGTTTATTTGTATTTATTTAACACGAAAAATATTCTAAGTCCAAATAATTAAATTATAAAATAGTGGTAAACGGGTTGTGACTTAGTATTGACTTTGTGGCTGTTCTGCTAGTGCTCGTCGTCTTGGCTGGTGTTCGTCTGATGGACACTTGTCCATCGACGTATTTCGTCGGTTTTCCTATTATATCCCTCCTATAGCGTTTTTAGGATATAAATGGTACATAGCTGCGTATACCTGAGGTCATTTCGGGCGTCCTCTACAAAATAATGTTAATTGGGATTATATGTTTTCTCAAAGTTATCTATTTTGTTGTTTACGGCTTTTTGTCCTTCCCAGAATATGGATAATGCGCGCGTTCTATACTCTTATCGATATGGCCGCCCGGACGTTTATATTATTACTATTATTAGGTTACGTGCCCTCTGCAGCATTTATATCTATTATTGAATATAACATATTATATTATAAGCGCATTATACTCAATACAGCATAATATAATATAATATTTTATATATTATTACTATTATAATATGTACGTAGTCACAGCCCGTTACAGGGAATTAAACTATATCTAGGTACTTTTAAGTATAATCGTACAATAAAAATGCAAAATATACTCCTTAAGGCACTTTCTTCATTGGGTGTTAATCTAAACTGTTCACGAAATGAATATATTTTTCATTTATAAATAGCTTTGACCATCATAAAGCTATATAATGTCACTTGAAAGTTATCGGCCCAAAAACATTACTGTCAATTCTAGTAACTCTCTGTAATCATCTCTTAGATGCTTTTCTAAAAGTTGATCTTTATAAAACTTAATAATATGATCACATACGTTATTTACAGAATCCATTACAATACTATTTTGTATGCCAGGATTTAGGATTAAAATTGTTAGTCAATTATTCCCCTTTTGTGAACCTTTTAAAAATTCCCACGTCTGGGCCCAATGTTAACTCAAATTTTAAATCAAACACACTTTTCAATATAATTTCATATAAATGTTGACTTACGTAAAGTCGTAAACTATTCCTGGTAACCATTGTAAATCAGTAAAATAACATGTATTTCTTATAAAGTATAACACGCATTGTGAAAACATAGCACACGATATTTATTAAGTATGACACTGGTTGTTGTTATAATTCAACTGAGAAATAATTGACGATCTATAGTGATTTAATAAACCCGATAACACATCACATACCTATAAGTCCTAAGTGTAATAATGTACAATGATGTAGAATGTAGAACGTAGATAATACTTAGTTTTGTTGTACGAGTAATGAATGTTACAATGTGTCATGGAAATAATCTTCACGTAATAATGGAAAAATATGGGTATAGGTATTCGTATTAGGTAAACTACTCAGTACCTACTCTATTCGTACCTACCTAACCATTCTATACTAATTTCTTATATCCATAGGCGTAATCTCGGGGGTGCAAAGGGGTGCACTTGCACCCCCTGGAATTGTTGAGGGGGTGCAAAACTATCATTTTGCACCCCCTAAATTTTCTATATTTATAATGTATAATTTTGCCAATTTTTTAAATATTTATAAAATAATGTTAACGTTATTAGACATTATTAGTAACACCTATAAGTTTTATAATCATGAACTTCAAATAGAACTAAAAATCTTTATTAGAATATTCAAATCTAAACAAACTAACTTAAATAATAGTGTATTTTAAAACAAATTAGATTATATGAAACAAGGTGAAATTAAAAATAGGTGTCCTTTATTATCTGAAATTTTAACACTATTTATGACAATACCTACAAACACTATCATCTTGTAAACGAAGTTTTTCCTGATTACGAAGGCTTAAAACTTACCTCAGAACAACTGTGGGACAAGAATGGCTGTCTGATATAGCTATGTTACAACTTACAAATTGATAGAAATCGAGTTATAGATTCTGAAATAAATTGTAATCGACGAGTTCAATGCAGCAGCAACTGTACATGGCAGATGCTTAAGTTTAATTTAATTTTGTTAATTAATATGTATTAATATTATATCAATGTAATAAATTACAGTGTCTACTAATATTTTAATTTATATAATAAAATGTATTTACTTCATATTATTAATGATAATACTAAATTGTGTATACAATTTTGAATTTTGATCGAGGAACTAGTATTGAAAAAGTAGTAAATAAATGTTCAAGCGGTACCTATTTTGCAATTTTGTAGAAAGTTTGTAACTTTCCTGATTAGTTTTGCACCCCCTGAATTTTAGCGAAATTACGCCTATGCTTATATCCTAGATTACAACGTGTAGTATTACTTACAAACTATATTATACAGTACCTACATAAGTTTATGTTCATTTAAATCGCATTAGATGATACAGAAAACATTTTATTTATTGCCACGTTAAAAAATAGTTACAAATTAATATTTAAGATTCTGAGTGGAACGATGAATGTATTGATTTTACAATGATGTGTGTTTTTATATATATATTTTTTTTATTTTTGTGTCTGTGTACACGATAAGTAGTCGAAATAATGCTTCGATTTTCAACTTCAGTATCATGTGCGATTGGAAAGTGAATATTGTTGGTGCATTGGTCAAATTTTAAAATTCCTAATAGTTTTCCAAAGCGAAGGGAAGAACAACATAACAATTTAGGATAAACGGGAATTTTTACTCAAAATCGATTTTTCATAAGATCGACTTTTGTTTTTGGGGTAACTTTAAAACAAATTACCATAGATACATTTTCACTGGTTGTTTATATTTCCATTTTCTATACACGATAAAATTTCCAAAATATTTTGATTGGTTTTGAACTTTTTAGGGACATTTTCAGTTTTCCATTTTATTAGTTTTTTTTTCTATGAATGTCAATAAAACTTTATTTGTTGTGTAAAAGAACTAGAAAATTTAAAATAAGGATAAAACTATATTGTTACAATGACATTTGAAAAATATCAAAAATCCTTTGTCACAGTTTTTTTTTTATAATAATTATTTAAAGTTCAAAAATTGACAAAATATGGAAAAATCACGAAAATCACGAAAATTAGCAAATTATTTTGAGTTAAGAATTCGTAAAAATTTTTCTTTTTAAATCTAAGATTTAAAATGCAACACAAGATTCCTTATAAGATTATCTACCTTTATCAAAAAAAAAAAAAATGTCTATAAGAAAGACAAATTAAATTTTTATGTGCGTTTGAAGGTTAAATTTTTACAACACTGGATATTCATTCGATTTCTCATGTAGCAATTTTCTTATTTTATTCTAATTTAAAAACGAATAACTTTAGATTCATGAAAATTTCACTGAAGGTGTATTTTATCATTTCTTATACTTGATAAAATTTTCAAAATATTTTGACTTGTTTTGAGCTTTTTACGGACAATTTTATTTTTTTTTTCTATGAATATCAAAAAAGTTTTATCTGTTGGGCCAAAAAGTATAAAAATGTAATACAAGGCTCCTTATATATTGTTACAATATCAGCTGAAAAATATTAAAAATACACAGGCACAATTTTTTTTATAAGCATTTGAAGATCGAATTTTGACAAAATTTATCAAGTTTTTCTTATAGAAAGATATTATATCATTAAATTCAAATTTAATACCATCCATTATACAGTGACCAACTTGTAATCTACTGTACAGCAGAGCACCTTTTTTTTTTATTGATAAGTATATAATAAAATTAAGAAATTTTTTCTCATGCTTTTTTAAGTATTGGAACCGATTTGAGGGGGGTAACTTGAACATTTTGCAATTTTTTTTTTCCTTCATCTATACCAGAGGACCACCCTACAATAACTATAGCAGTTGCAGGGCTCAGTAAAAAAAAAATTATTTTAGACATTTTGAAGGATATAAATTATATTCAAGATAGCTTTTAAAAAGAAATAGGCACCTGGGAAGCCGGAAGGTCGAATGATAGTTAAATAAGCTAAAAGAATCAAAAAGTGATGATTAGTTGAGAATTAAAGAGGGAATATTATTAGAAGTGTAATATCAATATCTGATTAATATAAGTAATCTAAAAATTCATATCTATAATGTAGTATGGATAAATGAATGTCTGTAGGTACCATATACCAGCTATTGTCGGAATCGTGGTGAACAGTCAACTAATGTAGGTACGCCACTCCAGTGTGGGCATATGAGCCGTTGTCACTGACATAAACCGGAAAACTCTTATTTGGCAGCAACGCAAGGGACACTCATCATCAGAGCATACAGGACATATCAGACGACGCAGAACTAGACCTCATGGTAATGCCACTGATTGACATTTTGGCCGTAGACCGAACCAGGAATCATGGGAGAAGGAAAGCTGAACAGTGAACACATGGAGGTAGGAGAGAATAATCGACGTCAGTGAATGGCAATAGGGATAGTGACAGTCAAGTAAGACTGAGCGGATGAGGGA